TCGGTAAACACTGCTGATACACAAAAATTGTATACAGAGCATGATTTGTACCGAAATATTATCATTTTCGAGCTTGTTGGAACAAACAAATAAACAAAATAATCATATGTGTGTTGTCAATTATCCTTATCCGTTGTCTATTAAAAACAAAGGCCAAATACTCCATTGATTCATTTTATAGAAAAGAAGAAATTTAATATTTAATTTAAAAGTTGAACCTGTCAATTATTAAGCATAAATATTAATGCTAATACTAATCATAAATCGAGTATAAATGTCCCCATTACATTGTGAAGGTTCAACTTAATGCTTAATCATAATACTAATGCAAATACTAATAATAAGGGAGTATAAATAGACCCTAAGACATAACCAAAGATTATTGGATATCTTGGATTTTTGGTGAAATTGTAGTTAAAACATTTTTTTGGCGTATTTATAGATTGATATTATTTTATTTATGTAGGTATATTATTGTTAATTCTCTTTCACTGAGAAACTGTATAAACTGATTTTCCTAAATCATTTAGAAATTGTGGGAGCTGCTAAGGGACTGGCAAATAACACAAATTGAGTGTAGTAAATTTAATAAGACCTTTTCGAAAATTTTATTATTTTCGTTAATGAAAGAATTTCTTAGGGCCGATTCCACCGTTGTGTTAAACGGAGATTAAAATGACATTGCTAATGTAAAAATGTCACTTTAAACTTCGTTTAACACAACGGTGGAATCGGTCCTTAGTTTCTCAAAACTTTCGTTGCTCTTCCATACAAAAGCTACCTTTTCTTTTTTCAACATGAGAAAAGAAAAACTAAGAATAACTCGACAAGTTTTAATTATTATACGTAATCGAATATTTTCACTTATTCCTCGATCATGATAGCGATTGCTCGGCACGGCACCTGCTCCAGCGCGGAGGCTCGGCAGGTAATCGGATACCCAAAAACCACAACAAATACAAATATTGCCAACAGTAAATTTTAAAATATCTTTAATGTTATTGGTTGTTTCGAAATATTCGTGAACTTAATATCAGACATACGTGAAACTACTATTTCCATGGGAATGTCTATTCCGACACGTTCGAGAATCGCATAACCTATTACCATGGGAATATAAGTATTGGAATATTTTCCCATGGGAAAATTTTCCAATGATCTCGAGAATCGAGCCCCTGGGCGGTTCTCGCCAGCAATACTAGAGATCTGTTTCTAACTCTAAATGAACGTTTTTTTCTAACGGTGCTTGATCAGGAGCAACTTTCAAATGTTCTCCCTTTTCCCCTTAAGCATTTGCTCAATGGCATATGTACAAAGATCTTATCTTGATAATTGTAGACCGTTAATAATCTTTCTTTTTTGACGTCATAGGGTTTTATACACCAAATTTAATAAACCCTTAAGTTCAACGCGTTGTCTATGACAAGTTACGGCGACTTTTTTATCACAAAAAATATAGCTCCGAACGATAATATTTTATTGAGGCATCTGACGCTATACCAACTTGGTCCACGACAGCTTCTTCATTTCACTTATTGACACTTTTTATCTTCGTTGTGCTCTGGGTGCTCCGCACCCTGTTCAAAACTGCTCTGGGTGCTTGCGCACCCGGAGCCCCGGGGATTCGGTGCCTATGCCTATTCCATTTTAAGGGGTTGAAACGCCCCCTCATAGGCGGGGGTTGCTGGTTCAAGCCTCAAATATACGTCAAAAGATGTCCCCCAAAGAAAATCATCCGACGTGTTTCGGGAAATTTTTCCAATTACTATGGGATAAGAAATATACAGGGTGGCTCGTCTGACGGCGTTCGGGAACGGAAGGAGTTAAAATAAAAGTTCCTTTTTGACCGTTCGGAGATCGTGGAGTGGAGTGTGGATCGGGCATGCGCATAAGGTGATTTAAATAGATAATAAGATAATTGTGACTAATTCTAAAGAGAAAATGCTTTTTATTTGGTTCCCGTGCATACCATTAATATGGAAGAAACTTATACGGTTGTAATTGATAAGTACGATTAGGTTTTAGATATTAGTATGTCACATTGACAACTGATATTAAACTCTGAGAGTAAATTAAAGGAGTAAAACCATATGCGCACTCCGTCCACGGCGTAACTCCGTCTGCGCCTATTTACTTCACTCTACTCTGGAGTGCGCAGCCCGAACTCACCTATTGTATAGTTGTGATCCGACAGAATTAAACACTGGTCCATAAATACTGCAAAACGATTGGTTAAGGAAATCATTCAAAAAAGATGTAATAATATTCTTGGTTCAACAAATGTATAAATACATAAACAACACTAAAAAACATTTAAAAACAAATGTCCGATTTTGAGATTATTATCTAAATTTCTCAAAAATATATTGGATGGAAGATGGCCATAATTCGTGAAATGCAATACTGGTGCCATCTATAAACAGATAGTCACACTATCGAGTTGCACATATTACTTGTAGAGGCGCACTTTTCTCTCACGCTCATGGAGAAACGATTATTACTCACGTTCACAATATATCCCCTATAGTAATGTTACTGGGATTCAAGAAATGGCTTTGAGTTACGCTGCGGCCAGACACAGGTCTCATGGCGCTAGTATCGTTATTGATTTTTGACATCGGCACGTTCATTGGTTGACGACGAATTCAAAACAATCTGATCGGAGTGTTACTCACTCCCACTCCTTCTCTTTGTTTATATACTTATAAAAGAAAGAGATACCAGTTAATAATTCCTATTTCGAATCATCTTTCATTCTTTAGCGTTGAGTTTTTATAAGTGAAGCGTGAAGTGTCAGTGTTGACAAGTGATAATTTTTTGATTTTTTCTTCTACCAAATTTAATATTAATTTTGTTTCAGCGATATTTATTGTGATTTGTGTTGTTGTATTAAGTGCTTTATTATTTAATATGGGAAACAAAATGTACAACAAACTCAGAAAAAGAGGAATCAAGGAGGGATTGCTATCTATGGCTGTCATCCAAGGGTCTGGGCCCTAGATAATACTTTTCCAGTGGGAAAAGCCTTTAAAATTCAAGTATAACAATTTTATGTTTCCGTTTTCCCTTCTTTTAATGTAGGTGCCAATTTTGTGGTAAGTTTGTAAAAATTTTTCATATTTTTTCAGTTAATACCTACCCTCTTAATATTATAATTTAACTATGATCTTATGCTTTCCTATGGACACGATTCAATGGCTGTCATCCAAGCCCTAGATAATAGTTTTCCAGTGGCAACAGCCTTTAAAATTCAAGTATAATAATTTACTTTTTTCGAAGTAGATGTCCATTTAAACTAAATTTTTTTATTTCACTTATTGATTTTAGCATTTATATACAGTATCGGCTAATGAACACTTTCCAATATGCTTGGCTAGAATCGAAAAGAAAACTAAAGAGTTAGCGCATTAGTTCGATCAGGAAACGAATAATATTAATGTTGCCTTGTGTGCTGTGTAATATGAACAGGCACACGGTGTGATGCATCCCCACGTAGCCGGCTGGCTACGTTCATAGTATTCTATTCCTTCTCCCACTAATGCTAACTCTTAGTAGTTTTTACTTGGACATTAGCAAAACGTATTGTACAACATTCGATAGCTGTCACTGTATTATCACAAACATCTCTTAATAACTAAATGATTTCATTTAATAGTTTCTTTTTTTTTTTTTTTCAGTAAAATGGATATGGCTAGAGTTATCTTCATCTTTAAAATATATTAAATAAGTTTTATAATTTTTCAAATAAAATACTTTATACAATTTTTTGTTTTTTTTTACCAGAGCCAATTTTTTTTCAGATCTAACCTCTATAGGTAAAAAATAAGTAAAATTGAAAAGTATATTACATGTTCTTTTAAATGTGTTGTTAATCCAAATGCTGCTCTTATTGTAATAGCTAATAATAAAAGAATTAGTATTATTTTTAGCTATCAAAATAAAAGTAGCGCCTGGATTTACAGCTCGTTTAATCGAACATGCAATATACTTCTCAATAATTATTGCCGAATGAATATATTTAAAAATTCCCGCCATTCCGCGGCTGAAAATTTACAATTTTGGCGGGAAATTTAAATTTCGCCTTTAAATTATATTTGAATTTACCGCCATATCGAGTTAGTTGAGCGGCCAGACACAGACGCATTCTTGCGCTACAAACTTAGTGCCAACTCTTTAACAAGTGAGATGCACTACTATAGGGGATATATTGTGCTCACGTTCAGGCCTCGCAACGAAGTGGAGACAGGCGTAACAAAAAAGTTACAAAAAATGAGACTGGTCCGAGCTGGTGCCGCTACAAATATCCGCTAAGCTAGGGGATCCGCGTTTTTCTCAGGTTCAGTATGAGCTACAAAAGGGAGACTAGCGCAACAAAAAAGCTAAAAAAAGGTTACGAAAAACCAGCTGGGTCTGAATCTGTGCCGCTACTATGGAATTTATGGAAATTCAAGCTAGCGGATCCGCTGTTTTTTCGGACCTGGACAAAGCTACAAATTCGCAAATAGCGTAACAAAAACGCTACAAAAAACCCACCAGGTCTTGTATGGTGCCGCCACAGAGTGCCCGCTAGCTTGATATAGCCATATTTTTCTTATATATGGTATTTCATTGGGAATTTAATAAAGATATGATTGTTTTTAAATATGTGTGCTATTAGAAATGTTCTGATAAATATTGTGCTATCACCACACACAATTGCTTGTATTGTAATGTCGTTGAAAGCAAATATACCTATGTATTGTTGTTGCGTAAATTCCAATAATAAAGATTTTTCTTGTCGTGTCCCATTTATTTCGAAATAGGTTCCTCAAACGGTTTATATTTAAAAAAATGCGTTTATTATTATTATTTTACAATAAGCCAGAGCAGTTTATAATCGTGTTCATTTTTAAATTCGCACATTAGATGGTCCGGTAAATACATCATTTTCCCCGAATTCTTCCGATGATACACGATACATTGATCAATCCTGAGAGTCAAGTATCCTTGACAAGTAGTTCGTTCGAGTTCGTTTGCAGCTGGGTTCTGTCAGTTTCAGCTGTCAGACCGTCAACCAAATGCCAGAACCTTGACTTTTTGTAAGAGATTCACATTTTGAGGTAATTTTTAAGATATGTTCAAACGGAATACAATAAACGTACAATAATTTCGATTCAGTCGAACTTTTTCCGTCGGTTTTTATATTTAACAAAAAATGTCCGCGTCGAAAATAAATTTTAATTGATATTGTGCCATTACAGGTTACCTTTTACGAGCGCACAGTTACAAAATGAGCTGCTGGTTCACCGGTGGATTATCAGTAGGACCGATTGAAAATTAACCAGTTTCGAATTAATGCCTCTTTTCTAAGAATTTTATAAAACATGACTGATTTTTTCGAACGACTAGAATCTAATGACAAAGAGACTGTTGAGAATGCAAAGCAAAGTCTTCGAGAACAATTTATTAAAGGTAAACGTTTTTATGGATTACTTTAACATCGTTTAATGTGTTATTTTTTTAGTTAACGAACCATGGTTATTAAATGGTTTGTATGAGTATTATTTAAATACCAATTCTCAACGAGCCATGGAAATTTTGGTCAATATTAAAGAACCACACCATATATATTTATTCGACAGGTAAATTTTCGATTTTTTTATACTTGTAGTGGTTTTTATTGAGCGATTGTTTTAGATTATCTGATTCTATGAAAGGTCCAAAATTAGAAATAAAAGTCCAGGCTCTGACACTTTTTGGTTATGTAGCTCGTAGACAGCCGACTTGGCTGTATAAACTTCAGGAACATGGTCTTCTTAGGGAGTTGTTGAAATCTTTAAAGGTAGGATTTTTTACTTGTTTTAACTTTGCATTTTTCATAACAAAATATACATTTTAGAATGAAATAGAGCTTCTACCTTTGATAAGTGCACTTCTTGTTTTAATTGTATTATTACCAATGATTCCTTCAGCTATGGGAAACTATTTGAGAGATATTTTTGAAATATTCAGGTGACTAATGTGATATTCTATTCATTTAACACTCGGTTACTTTGGAATTTACAATTTTTAGTCGACTGGCTTCATGGAATTGTAATCCTGGTAAAATTGTGGAAGATCAATTGATACACATGCAAGTGGCACTTTATGCCTTATTTTTAAGATTGTATGGGATGTATCCTTGCAATTTTCTTGGATATCTTAAGATTCAGTACAAAGATAAGAATACTCCAGTATTTGTTCATACCATAAAAGTAAGTTTACTATAGGTATTATATCAAGTTTATATTATATTGAAAACAAAAATAAAAGCAATTTTGTCATAGGTATATAAAGTAACATATATTTTATATTTTAGCCCATGTTAGATACAGTCAGAATGCATCCTTCACTGGTTACATCAACTGAAGATACTGAAGTAACGACGGAAAGGTAAGTACTTTATTAGAAAAACCAGAAATAGTTTGCAGATATTTTAACAAAGTTCTTGGTAAAATTCGCTTAATTTAATACAAAATCCTATTCTCTGTCCTTACCAAATATTCTTCCTGGATTTCTTCATGTATGAATATTTTAATTTGGTTTACTAATTAATGTCTTGGCATATAACATTTTTCATATTTGACTTAGCCTCAAGATTTCTTTGTTTATTTTATTTTGAAGAGAAATGAATTAATCACTTTTGGACTTGGACTCATACAATAAATTTTCTTTTATTATAATTTATTTCTTTTTTATTTTTATTATTTATTTAATCATACATCTAATGGCCAAGGCCCATTAGAGAATACGCACTGTATATTAATAAACATGGATATATAATACAACAAATAGGGAAAAACAAATTATAAAGTTAAACTATAAATAACGAGATTGTGTGAGTAATCTGAAAAAAACTCTAGTGGAGAAAAAAGATTAATCACACATAACGCATTAGAAACAAAGCTAGAATATAAAATATATGAAAAAAGAACATATTACAAACATGAAGATATACATATATAAACTGTTTTAAATTGATGTTTTTCTGTGACGGGAAAAAAGTTTGACATTTTATCTCTTGTAATATACAATAATATAGAGAAAAACTGTAAGATATTTGATGATGACACATGTATAATCTTCTGAAATTTCACAATGAATAGATCAGAAAATTACTTTATGCAAAAGTAATAAGTACTGTACCTTTCGAAATTAAAACAAACTGGCCATCCATTTTCCAATATCGACAACATAAACTGAGTAAAATTCTTTAAAGGAATTCAATGAGAAGATGTTTGAGTTCCTTGAGGCAAAACCTAAAATTTTAAAAGGTTTATTTATTGATGAGTGGTATAAGGAACAAATACTAATTTAGAAGCATCACTGTTAATTAGAACCCAACAGTGAATGGTCGAGTGGGGAATTAAATAAAAAAATCCCG